TGAGTCACGCTTTTCCATACAACTGGATAACAGGAACCAGATCACCCCCTACTTTCACCAACATAGTGAGTCACGCTTTTCCATACAACTGGATAACAGGAACCAGATCACCCCCTACTTTCACCAACATAGTGAGTCACGCTTTTCCATACAACTGGATAACAGGAACCAGATCACCCCCTACTTTCACCAACATAGTGAGTCACGCTTTTCCATACAACTGGATAACAGGAACCAGATCACCCCTACTTTCACCAACACAGGTGATGGCGACACACAAACAAGAAGTGGTGAAAATGGTGACATCTAAGTCTCGTGAAATGGTACTTATATTGCCACACATAGGGTTCACATTCTAGACCCTTCATGCTACCCTATACTGGTACAACTAACTCTGATTTCACCCTAATGGGATATAATGCCCACCTCACCATATTAAACTGGTCAACACATTCCTTGATACAAAAAGTGTAGTGGCCTTCATGTTTATAAAATTTCTGTCTAATTGGACATGTATGGGATGCTTTTAGGGAAATATGTCTAGTGACTCCAGACACCAAAGGTGCCATAAAAACAGCTCTTCCATAACTGGTTGAAGATGATTCTGAAACTTTATCAATGCTCTGATTTTAAGCATATAATGTCTGTGCCAGGCTGACCTTGCTGTTTGTGGTAACAATCAGTGAACAAATTTAAATTGTTAAAGATAACCAGAAATTCTGTCAGACAACCAAATTACTTCATACTTAAGAACTGTACATATTGGCTTGTGTGAGAATTTTAGCATTGAATCAGTAAGGCGCAAAGGAATGCAAGTAATGCGAGAATATTATCTATGAAGTAATAATTCCAGTGTTATTTTCATATCTGTATTGAACGGCTCTGCCGGCTCAGTTCAACTTGTGAATGTACACACACAAAATGGTTTTCATTTCTGAGGTGCACATTGTACACCACGAGTCCAGAGTGGCACAGAAAGTTCCAGAAACATTCTACCTCTAGCTGTACACATACATACTACAATCGTGCCTTCCAAGGTACCTGTAATAGTGTGTTGAAATCCCCCAAACATGTGCACACCATGAAAGAAGTCTCCACATTAGCAACATCCCTATTTGAAATGAAACGGCTGGGTGTGATAGTTCAACCAATCACAACTGACAGTTGCTTCGCTTACTTTGTGATCAGTTGTCTTAGGCAGAAGCTAATGGGTTCCATTGAAAGGGTGACAAAATTAATGTTTTTCAGTTGAAGTACACTGATATGACTGCTAAAAAAAGAAATGTTTCTAGTACTGAGATAAAACAAACAGATGGACTTTTGACTTGCATGGGAATTTAAGTTTGTTTTGGCACAGAATAACTGCTACTGTGGCAAATATGTTTGTGTTACAGTGGCAACTAATGAAGGCCTTGCATTTATCCCTGTCCTATAAGAATTGTATGATACGAATGGATGCAACATGCAGGAAAATATAAATGAACAAAACAACAGTTTTTTTAGATGTGAACAAAGCCTTGTCCACTGCACACAGTAGACATAATGTACCCACATTATTGGTTTGCTTGCTTATGATAGTAGGGAAATAAATTCTCCAAACACTCGGTACACAATATCCAGCAAGTTATCGTATGATTTTTGCTGTAGTATTTTTGAGGTGTTCCGGTAGTGATCCCACTACCATATCCTACCATTTTACTCGAGCTGGCTGGTTTATGGTAATTATTCAAACTGTCAAAACAAAAAAGAACATTTGTATCAGTGTTTTTTTTTTGTTTTGATTCATGGTATGTTGATGAGAATTTTATAGTATTTCTGAGGTGTAGGCCCAAATTGTTTGACAAAACATGAGTGAATACACAACCTTCTGTCAACAATATCACAGTGAACTTGCTAGAAGGTACTGCAAATGTAATTTATGAGTTGCTCTGTTTATGCTCTCATCTGATATTGTTGCTATGTGACCATCTCAGCAAACACTGTTAAATGTCAGAATAGGTTTAGGAGGAAAAGGAAGAAAATAACCATGGAAACTTTATTCTCACCTTCAAGTTTTCTTTTGAAAATAAGTTGAATGAAACTTCTGAGAGTCTAATGTCAATTGTTACAACTGGCTAGACCAAGTTTTTCTTTTCATTTCTTTTTATTGTTAATATCATCATGTAATTTTAACTACAGAACAAAATGCAGGCAAACTAAGAACTTATGGTGGTTAATTCAAGTCAATGTAGCATAATGTGGTGATTTTTAAGTAATGTTGAACCACCAAGGAAAAAAAAGTAAAACCTGCTGAGGAGAAGAGAGGTTGGAAATGAAATGACCTGAACAAGCAACAACAGTTATATCAAAATTCATGGTTGAGTCACCCCGACTTTAAGACACGGCTGTGTTATCAACATGCTACCAATCTCATGTTTTGTAAAATGTATGAAGGATTGATTAACGTTACTACTCAAATTCAGACTCAAAGCCTGCATGAACATTCCAACAGTGTTTACTGGACCCGAACTGTCGAAGTTATTAGAGCAGCTACAGCTCCTCATAGAACATCCGAGGTAGAAGACTTGCTTGAAAATGATTAGTGATTTTATTTCACGCCTGCCAAGCATAAACAACCATTTACAGATATTGTTTGGTTGACAAGCTTGGATGAGGCAAAGGGTTTAGATGTTGACCAGACATATAGAAGTGAAATGAAGCATCGAGAATTCACAGAAGTGACCGAGAGACATAAACTGGAAAAAGTCCAAGTTTCTTCTCATAATGTGCGATAAAGCCACTGATGCAGTTGTAGTAGAACAGTTGATTTTATTCATCAGGTAAGCGAATCTTTCCAAATTATGAAAACAGCAATGAATAGTTATATATGAAAAATCCTTACATCAAACAACCATGCTGGCTGATAAAAATATTAAGTCTGAAATAAAACAACCACTAATCTAACACAAATTTCTTTTCAGCGAAAGTTTGCTCATGAACAATTAGAAGTAGGCAAAGGGTGGGGGCTTACAGTAGATAACAGAAATGAAGAAACTGTGATATGATTAGTGTGTACAAATATCACTCAAATTGTTGCTTATGATGTGTTCATTGGGAAAAAACTATTTCAAAAGTAACTTTTGTACTGCTTTTAACTTCTTGTTTAAAAAAGAAGTTTTGAAATGCTTTATCTGGTGGCTTTTTTCATGAGATGGAGCTCTCTGGACCCCCAGCAAAGGACTCAATCTTCCATTCTGTGTGAGCTACCACCACCAATAATTTGATGCTACTGATGTTATCCAGCTGGCAATGACCAAAATCATCAGTTTCAAGACATGGTCCATTGAGGATGAGAAAGGTAAGCGTATTTAACTTTTGAGTTGATTCTTACATCACATAATGTTTTGAAAAAAAGTCATGCATGCATTGTGTGATCAACAACAGGATGCAGGTAAGTTACCTCTGGAATTTTTATCTCTCGCAGAGTGTGGTAATGCAGAGCCAAGAGACTTCTTTGGTCTGATTCTAGAGAAAAGTGGAGCTAACAAACATGGTTGAGGTGGGATAGTACATACACAGAGTGAGTCTTTTCATAGCTTTATTCTATTTAAAGGTTAGTCATTTTGCAAAATGCTTACCTCAACTTACAATATTTGCTGACTTATTGTTAACCTGTCTGTAAGGCATCTAGGGAGCAGATATGCACCAAATATAAAGATGTTAACCCCAACTTTTTGTGCCCTTATCGACCTGATCAACGAGAGGAAGGTGGGGGGGATTCTACCAAATGAAGAGGGTGAAGAGTGATGGACTGGGGAGTGATGTCCTAATCAGCACTTTTAGAGTTCAACTGGAAGAACCCAGTGAAGAAGTGCTACCCTGCAATCAGCTAATCAATCATTCCAACCCCAATATGGTTAGAGGGAGAATGGAGAAGAAGATGAGACACAAATCAATGACATAGATGAGTTAGAACATCACCCCACCCAAAAAAAAAAAGATCTTAATGAAGTACCTGATGTCAATCATACGTTTAATACAACTTTGTTAATCAAATGCCTTTTTTGTGCATGTATCCTGACATTATTGTGAGTGATTTCTTTTTACTTATGGAAGGACAATCTTTTGTTTATGTAGGACAACAAAAATCTGTTTACTAGAAATTGTATGAGCTATAAGGTGTAAAACCACATCTACCAAATTTTCGTTTACAAGCACACACCAAATGACCAATCATTTGCATTTCAGACCACATAACTTACCATCAGATGTTTGATTTGCACAAAAATCACCCAAGAAGGGCAACTGATAATACAACATTGGTTCTGAGAATGGCAACTGATAACACAACATTGGTTCTGAGAAGGGCAACTGATAATACAACGTTGGTTCTGAGAAGGGCAACTGATAATACAACGTTGGTTCTGAGAAGGGCAACTAATAATACAAGGTTGGTTCTGAGAATGGCAACTAATAATACAAGGTTGGTTCTGAGAATGGCAACTGATAACACAACATTGGTTTTAGCCTTACAATTAATCTTTAAATAAATGCATTAAGCAGTTTACATTGATAAATGCCAACTTGAATCAAATGTAAATACATTTGCATTAAAATTAAAACAGTTTTTACAAGTCCCATATTTATATCAAACAATCGAATCTTATAACACATATACTTAAGGTTGTGTTTGTTCTCAAACACAAAACTACACAATGCTCACCACGAGTATCAATACCCAGTTTTTAGCATTATAAGCCTACAGATTTACTGCTGAGCCACTAGGTGGGGGTGGGGACGTACTTGAAGGATATGTAACAATCAGTTATCCAATTGTACTCTACAGGGATTCTGTAACGGTTCTTGCTTAAACATTTAGTGCTAACATTTAAAAAAGTTACTATAGTCAGAAATTGCCTATGAAATGATTCTGTTCTAGGCAAGATAGACTAAAAGGTTATACAACATTTTTATCTAAAGATAACAATAATAATATACATTTAACGCAAGTTAAGGTGGAGACAAATACAGTAATTTATTTTATGATTTCACTGGTGTAAAAGTTATATTACACATATTGTGTACATTTACAAAGATACAAGTCTTCGAAAACAGAGCCATGTTTTATTAGCCATCCTTTTTTTTCTTCAATTTTATAATTAATTTTAGATTAAGAAACTTGAATGACACACATAAATAAACACGTAATTATTAGAAATAACTTGATACAAACTAAAGACCTTATGCCATATGCCACAACCACTACAACAGTTTAGTGGTGTACATTCAACTTGTTACAGTTTTTGGCATGCTTCTCTTACCTCTTTAAATCCTTTGTGCCATGCTCACATATCCCAGATACGATTAAAACATCTTTTTTTTTTATCTGACGAAATTTCTGAAGATAAATAAATACTGAACAAAATGAATGAAGATTTTAAAGAAACAGATGAACTGATGCTGAAAAGAAAAACAAATAGGTACAATACTGCATTCGCATGTACATTTAAAATACAAGCAGCATGTGAAACATACAAGTTCTTTATAGCCATAGTTTCAAATGTGGCAAACTGTTTAATGACATTTCAACTATCATGTCTCTGTTATTAACACTACATGAGCCATTTAAATACTTAAAGCATTTTCTTTGGTTAAAAAATTTTATACAAGTATTTTTCAACACTTTAGCGATTTTTTTTCCTTTGTTAAAAAAAGTGTTTAAATTAGCAAGGCCATTGAAAATGTATAATCTATCATATTTTCTCAAATAAGCTTGTTTACATTAACTCATGACCTCTGCGGTATAAGAAGCTGACCTTTCAACAGTCTCTCTCTTCACAAACAGAATATAAATCAGCTGAAGAGACTGATCATCTACAGAACACCCTGCAAGTGACCATTTATTACCAAGTTCATTCTGATTCCGAGTCAGTTTCATCAAACCCTGTTAGATCTACATCTTGAAGCAGACCCCTTCCCAGAGCATACTCAAGTAAGGCCAGGTGACAAAACACGTACTGGTCGGGCATTTGAATGCTGTAAGCACGCTGAGAACGTATTTTCTCGACCGTTCCTCGGATGTCAATCTGGCCAGTCGCTTCAAGCCGTTGAATGCTGATGTCTAGTGTGATGAAAGTTCCTGAAACATTTTATGTACATCTTAATGCGACACTGTAAAAAACACCAATTCATTCTAAAGATATACAACATTTTATGTACATCTTAATGCGACACCGTACAAAACACCAATTCATTCTAAAGGTATACAACAACATTTTATGTACATCTTAATGCGACACCGTACAAAACACCAATTCATTCTAAAGGTATACAACAAAAAAACAACTGCATCAAATAAAACTTAAAAAGAATAACATAAAATATACAATCATTTTACTTTTCATAATACCAATGAAATAGTAGGTAAATGTATTCACAAGACATTGAGATTTTAGTTGAGAACTTAAGAATAAGAACTTCTCTGAAACTGACAATTGGTCAATAGAGTACCAATCAATTGAACAGGTACAGACAGAAGTTGTTGCAGTGACGTAGTACAGCCACGAGTTGTATTTCTGTGAAGCATAAAATAAATAAAGCTATGTTCACAAGTACAATATTGGTTATTAAACAACTTTTGAAGTTGAAATGGTAATCCAGAATATTAATTCAATGCAATTTTGAAACAGTATACACTTTAATGTTAAGTTTAAATTGTACCTTTTCTTCTGATAAAACTGTAGTCTTCAGGGATGACACCCAATTCTCATGTTAGACAAAACAACTAAATTTATGCAAATAGTTTAAAGCTTAGAATATGCATTACGTTTGTAAAAATATTACAATCTGTATTCAAGCGTACAAAACTTGAATGAGTGTGACAAGTCGCACAGGATCCTGTGGTTTTGCAACATAAAATAATGAGATGTATTCACATACGTGAAACTGAAAATGTTTGTGGTTATCTTCTACTGAAACAATAACATAAATATTGATTAGTGTTTTCTTTCCTAAATATGCCAGAGATTATGTGAAGAAAGCTTTATTTGAAGTTGCTTTTATTTACCTTAGAATATAACAGTTTGGAAACAGCGTACAAAGTTTTAACCAAGTAAATACAAAACGACTGACTTGATGCACTAGGAGTTAACAATAAACTCATTCAACTGTACTTCTCTGAAACACAGATATGCTACAGCTACTGAAATTCTCCAATACACACAGGTTCATCATATAAATGTCACAATCAACTAACAGTAAGATAATTTTATAGCCACAATACCTGTTCTACCAATTCCAGCACTACAATGCACTACAATTGGAGGTCCCAAAGAATGGCCATGCCAATGAGAGCCAAGAGACATGAGAGACTGTGCTTGTTGTTCCCGAACCTTGTCACGAAATGTCAAAATTTCCAAGGCAGAAAGTGGAACACCATAGTCTGGCCAACTTGTATACTGCATGTGAGACACTTCACGACATAAACCAGTCTAGAATAATAAAAAAACGAGGGGAGATTTCAATATATGATGGGATGATAAATGAAATCTTAGATAAGTAGAGATATTAACAATGAGTGTTTGATTTTATAAGTTGATAAAAGAATTCAAATATATGTGAAAAATGTACTGTTGTTAAATTTCAAAACACTCTTACTCAAATACAAGCAAAACTGAGATATTCATCTTCTATTTAATAAAACTGTCATACCCTTGAATGTGTGATGACCAGACTTGTCACAGTGTAGTCCTGGTATTGGTCAATGCCATTGTTGTGGACACGAAAAGGACCATAATCTTCGGATGTTTCTTCCTCTTTTGGCCAGTACTGACCACACTTTGGCCGACTTCTCTCAATTGTGCGGGTTGTCATAACAATTACTAAGACTTCTTGCTCCCATATCATTTGCCAAAAATCAGAAAATGTCTTTGGCAGTGGGCCTGTCAAAAAAGAAAAATGTTATTTCAACATGTAAAGAACATTACTAAGAATGATGTATCATATAAGCAATGCTACGAAATAATTGAACGAGTGCTACCTAAACATGACCTTGTGGCAAACATCAGTCACAGTACTGTATTGCATATGAAATAAGTTTATTATTTTCTTGTTGAAATGATATTTCAGCAATGACAAGCGAGTTCATAATCAGTTTAATATAATTCTGTGGATGTGAAGCATTTGTACCTATGATGACATATTTTGATAGTACAATAAACCACAGCTACGAATGTTTGTGAAACTCTTATCGTGGCCATTTGTAAAATACTGATTAATTTAGGAAAGTCATATAAGTCAATATGACGACTGGAGCAGAACACATCGAGTCGTGTCCTTCATATAAGTCAACACG